CGCGCTGGGCCAGAGCGCCAACGCACACACACACACACACGCATACACTAAGGTGCACGTGGCCGTGCTCTCAATCCTGTCCCCTATCGCCGACCTCCCGTTCCTCGACCCGTCTCTTCACTGTTGCTGCCAGTGCAAAAGTGGCCCAGGGAGACACGCGCGGACACACACACACGCGCGCACACACAAGGAAACACGCACACACACACACACGCACACACACATGCACGCACGCGCACACGCACACACACACGCACGCACACACACACACACACGCAAACGCACACGCACACACATACACACACCCATCCACCTACGCCCACGCCCACACCCACATCCACCCCCACACCCACACCCACACCCTCACCCACACCCACGCCCACATCCTCCCCCTCTCCCCCCACCCCTCACACACACGCACGCACAAAGGCACACGAACACGCATACACACAACACACACACACCACACACCACAAGCACAACACACAACACACACACAACACACAACACACACAACACACATACACACAACACACGACACACACACAACACACAACACACACAGCCCACACAACACAAAGACACAGATCACACAACACACAGCACACCCAACACACAACACATACAACACACAACACACAACACATGCGACACGCAACACACACAACAAACAAGCACACACACGACACACAATCCACACACCAGTCACAACACACACATAACACACAACACACAACACAATCCATAACGCACACAACACACAACACACAATGCACATAACCCACACAACACACACACACACACCACACACAACATACAACACGCACACCACACACACCAAACACAACACACAGCACACACAACATAACAACCGACAACACGCATACAGCACACACAAGACACAACACACACAAACCCTAACACACAACACACACAACATACACAGGCCACCCAACGCACACCAGCCCACACAACACACAACAGGCAACACACAACGCACAGCACACACAAACACACACAACACAAACAACACACACACCATACACAACGCATACACACACCACACACAACACACAACACACAACACACCACACACACCAAACACACACACCAGACACACCACGCACATCACACACCACACACACCACACACAACATACACAACACACGCCACACACGCCACGCACACCACACACAACACACATACCCACACCACACAGACCACACACACCACACATCTGACCAGAAGCGATCGTGACTTAATAATTTGTTCATGATTTTCAACAATCGCTGCAATCGTTTCTGTGCTCTCGTGTTCGCTCATCGTGGCGCCAACCTTGCGCTTTCCACCCGATTCTGGCCCATCGCACGTGGGCGCCGGCGTAAGCTGCGGTAAGCGGCCCTCCCCTCCTCTCTCCCTCCTCTTCTCCTTCCTCCTCTCTCCCTCCTCCTCCTCCTCCTCCTCCTCCTCCTCCTCTCTCCCTCCTCCTCTCTCCTCTCCTCCTCTCCCCCTCCTCTTCTCCTTCCTCCCTCTTCTCTCGTTCTTGTATGCGTTATGTCACTTTTGGCCTGGCGGCCGTCTTATCCACCTGTCCAGAACTGGCAGTTGGTGAGGTGATCATGCATGTCCGAGGCTGTTTACAAAAAAACAAAAAAACAAAACCCACACCCACACACATATAACCACACAACACATACACACCGCGCACAATCATCACACACGCACACGCACGCAGATACACACGACACGCACGCAAAAACTCGCAAGTACAACACACACACCACACATAACACAACACACACGGACACGCACGCAACCACACACACACCCACACGCACACACACACACACACGCATGCACAACACGCATGCACACACAGCACAACACACACGACACGCACAACACGCAACACAAACAACACACAACACACAGCACACCCAACACACACACACACCGCCCGCAACACGCACAGCACACTCACACGCGCGCACACACAACCACACACACAAACACACAACATACACACCGCACACAACACGTATAGCACACATTACACACCACACACGCACACAAACACACACACACAAACACAAACACACCGCACACAATACACACACAGCACAAACACACACGCACGCACAGGCACACACAACACACAACACACACAACACACAGCATACACACAACACACACCACACACACCGACACAGACACAGACACAGACACAGACACAGACACAGACACAGACAGAGACACAAACACATCGACACCCCCTCCAGGATGCCAGGGTAGCTCTGCGTGATGCCCGGCTGGTCCTCGCTTCCCCTCCATTCCTGCCCACGTGGTCCGATCCTCCCTGCCCACCTCCTGATCGTCCCGCCGCTCCCCCCTGGCATTGTGGCGTGCCCTGCCCGCGGCGCTTTTCTGCTCCCGCGCGCGCCGCCGCCGAGCCATCTCCCCCCGCACGGCGCGCGTTGGGGAAGACCCGCGGCGGGAGGCAGCGCGAGCACTGCGCGGGGGGGGGCGCGGGCTGGAAAAGCGCCCCCCCCCCCCCCCCCCCCCCACGGCCGGGCCTCACATTACGTCGGGCCTGTCCCTCTACAGGAGGAACATTTAAAAATAGTAAAAACATAGCCTGGGGACCAGTTGCTGACTATTGCTGAACATTTTTGGGATATTTTTTAGGGTCTTTTTGATTTTGCCTTCCAAATCCCCCCGTGGAGGGACAGGCCCGACCTGAGCCTAACACCCACACGCACAGAACTGCCGGCGACCCAGGCGGGCGAGGACCAAGAGATCGGCGTCGACGAGGTCCCCGCGACGTCCTGGTCTGGCTACCTACCAGACCACCCCAACCCAACCCGAAGACCCGAATTTCGGGTTGGGGGGGTAAGGGTTCCACACGTGGTTTTTCGATGTTTCCCGACCCCCCCTCCACTGGAAATGGAGGGTAAATCTGAGCCTTCGGGTTGGGTTGGGGTGGTTTGGTGGGTGGTGATGGTCGCCGTGGCCCTCGTCGCTGCGTGGCTCCCCGTCGCCTCTGTGGAGCCTCCTCGCGCGTCGGCGGCGGCCACCGTCGACTGTGAGACCGAGGCGGGCGCCGCCGGGGCCACGTCTTGGCCACTGTGGCGGCGGGCCCAGGGGGGGCCGGCCGCGGGGGCGGGCCTCCGCGGAAGGCTCGGCAGGCCTCGGGCCTGGCTTTCAGTCGGGCCTGTCCCCCCACAGGGGGGATTTTCGACGAAAAATAAAAGATACCCCAGAAATAGTCAAAACATAATCCAACAAATAATGCGTTTTTTGTTATTATATATATATATATAGATAAAATGATATGTTTGACCTTCTTGGAATATTTTTGGGGTATTTTCATGTTTTCGTCGAAGATCCCCCCTGTAGGGGGACACGCCCGACATAAGCCTCGCCGCCGCTCTCCGAGGACAGGGGCAGGCCTCCTCAGAAGGCCGGGAGGCTCCTGAGGAGACGCCCCGCCGCCTTCTGAAAGGGCCTGCCCCCTCTTGCCTTCCCGGCGTTGCCTTTTCTTTCGCAGCGGGGGCTTTCGCTCAAGTTCGGGCCCCGGGACCCTCACATACCGATCCGGCTCGAAAAATTACGCACAAGCTGCGGTCCGGGGCTCCGGGCGTGACTTTTTTTTGCGGTGTTGTATCTTTTGGTAACGTCGGATCAGGCTGGGCGCGCAGCCGACAGGATGCCGACGGGGTCGGGGGGCGGCAGCTCTCTCGGCTGCACGTGGGCTCCCTTCATCAGGTTCTTTGAAAGTCATCGCTCTGCATTCGTCTAGGCATACTCAAATCAGACGGCCCTTCGGCGTGTGTGAGGTGCTGTCGTCGTCGTCTTCGCCCTCGTCTTTGGCGTCGTCGTCGTCGCCGGGAGCGAACAGAGACCAGAAACTTCGAAGTCAAATCGATTCCCTTCCCCTTCTCCATTCCCTGAACGGGGGGGGGGGAATAGGGGGGGGGGCGGGGCCTGGGTTGGACTGCCGCCCCCCCTGCACGAATCCCGGGGGGTGCTCCCACGTGGAGAATGGGGGCCATTGGAGGGGCTCCCCCTGCAGGAGGGGGCCGGCCCCGGCCCTCTCTGACCCTGGCCTGCAGCCCCGGCCCAGGCCCCGACCCCGACCGCGGCCCCAGCCCTGGTCCCGGCCCCGGCCCTGGCCCCGGCCCCGGCCTGGGCCCCGGCCCCGGGAGGGGGCCACGGGGTCCCGGCGGGAGGCCCCGCCTCCGTCAGGGTCGGCGGATAAGGCCTTCACAGTCGACCATGCCCAGGACGACCACTCTGAACTCGTTTGGACATGCTCAGGCTCGAACATTTGCATATGAACGTACACCCCACACGCCCGCCTTACGCACGCAGGCCTGAGCTGACCTCTCATCACCACTAATCGCCACAAGGCGCCCAATAGGCTGCCCCAGAGGGCAACGAGCGACCATCGGAGGCAGGAGTGGCCCCTGGCGCGCGGCTCGTCGATCCTTGCAGGCGATGCCGCAGCAGCGGCCCGCGCGCTCCGGATTGGCCATCCCCGCGCCCCCTCCTCCTCCTCCCCTCTTCCCCCTCCTCCTCCTCCTCCTCCTCCTCCTCCTCCTCCTCCTCCTCCTCCTCCTCCTCCTCCTCCTCCCCCGAACAAACCGTGCGTTCCACGGGCCCCTCCGGCGAGGGGGCACTTCTAAGGCGAAGCCAAGACGAGGATCAATTCGAGCAGCTCGGAGATCCGGCGGCTCTGGAGGATGTCTCGGGAGCCGCGGCCTCTCAGAGCCTTCCGGAACGCTCTGGAACGGATTATTTGTCCTCGCCCCGGCCCCGTCCGAGCACTGCATGCGTGAAGCCGAAGCCCTCCGCCCCCGCTGCTGGCCGGGCCGATCTCTTGGGGCACGGCCGCTGCCAACCCTCTGGGCATCGCTCGGACGTGCATTCCCTGTGTTTTATCTTCGGTTTCGTGCGTGGTCTTCCCGCCAGATGATCAAGGATGCTCCTCGATGGTCCTCGCCGAAGGAAAAAAACGCACACGTCCGAGCGATGCCAAGCCTGGGCCGGGGAGCGGCCGCAGGCAGGGGCTGCCGCTCCACGCCCCGCCGCGAGCTCTGCAAATTTCCGGGGGCGGGCGGCGACCCAGCGCGCGCCCAGCGCCTCCCGTCGCGAGAGCAGCGCTGCAGTGCACGACAGATGCACCAAGAAATGCCGCTTTGGATAATCGTCTGGGGACGATTTTTTGAGTATTTTTGAATATGCTGTGCGCATGTTTCCCATATTCATTTGTCTTCCAGAATCCGCCTGTAGGGGGACAGGCCCGAGCTAAATCTAGGCCTCTTAGATGGGCCCGAATGGATGGGGTCGGAGGATCGCGCCGCATGGCCGATACAGCGGCTATGCATCGGCGATGCATCGGAGATGCACTGGCGACGCATCGTCGACGTCGGCGATGCATAGGCGACGTCGACGTGAAGCAACTCGGGCCCTGCACCGAGCCGCATCGGCGATGCATCGGCGATGCATCGGCGATGCGGCGCGATCCTCCGACCCTATCCATTCGGGCCCATCTAAGAGGCCTAGATTTAGTTCTGGCCTGTCCCCCTACAGGCGGATTGTGGACGATACATAAATAGAGAAACCTGCGCAAAACATCTTCAAAAATACAAAAAAATCGTCCCCAGACGATTTGTTTTGACTATTTTTGGCTATTCCTCCTGTAGAGGGGCTGGCCCGACCTGAGCCCAGATAAAGAGGCCCAACAATGCCACTTTCGGCGCGTTCCTAAAGGCGCCCGTCCGTGCGCTGCCCACGGCGGTGCCGTGGAGCGGAGCGCGAAGGTTTCCCTGCCCGGGGCCAGAGAGGGGCGGACGCTGCCGGCTGGCGCTCCTGGCCCAGGGCACCCCCACGAGATCCTGGCGCTGTATCTTTTTTCGAGCCGGGCGTTTTCGCTTCTCGTCGGGCCCCGGGCGGCCCTCAGAGATCGGTCCGGCTCGGAGAATGACGCAGGAGGATCGGGTCTGGGGCTCCAGGCGTGATCATTTGCGATGCTGTAGTCTTTTCGCTACCACGTCCGATCTCGGGTCCTCTCAGGATCCGCCGACCCCCGCTCGCCACGGGTGAAAAAGCGTATGGAACACATTTGGCTGCCCCCCTCCCTCTCTCCCTCTCCCCGGGGGTCCAAAACGCCACCCTGGGGGGAGGGGGGTGGGCACGAGCTCGTCAACGCACCCCTGGGGCCTCCAGAGCCCCCCAAAAGCCCCAAGGCAGCCCAAGAGGGCCTGGACAGAGCGCCAAGACAGTCGAAGAGAGCGTCATGACGGCCCAGGGTAGCCTCACGACGATCCAAGATGGCTTCAAGATGGCTCACGAGGCCCCGAAGGCAGCCCAAAAGCGCCTCCAGAGGATCGCCGAAAGGGCCCCGCAAGGCCAAACTTTCTTTTTTGCGCGGCGCCCGCGGCTTCCCTGGGGTACCCCTCGCTGGGACCAGAGGGCTCTGTGTAGGGGGAAAACAAACCTACCTCGCTTTTGACCACCCTCGCTTCCAAGAGGTACCAAACGATGCCAAATTGCAGCCTGTACTGGTCAGGCCGCTTGACAAGGGTGCGCGTGGTATGGCCTGGTCTTGCCTGGAAGCGAAGGCGGGGCAGGTCATTCGGGCTCTGACTGTGGGGGCTCTAGACTGGGTGGAAGAGGTGTTGGCACCTGAGCGACGATTGAGAGCGGGCCTCACGCGAGACGACCTGGTCACCTTCCGCGGCGGCTCCACGCGGGCCGCCCTTCGCGGCACGCGCTGCTATCTGGGAGCCGCGGGCGCCTATGCGGGCGACCTTATAGCGCGGGCAGCTCGCGCTCCGAGGCCTCGGCGCAGAGACGCCCCCGCTTTTTTGTTCGCGCCGCGCGCGCCTGGGCGCCAGGGCGCCACGAGGCGGAGCGCCCCCCCCCCCCGGAGAAAAATCCTTCCGCAACACTTCCAAAAACCTTCTCGAGGAAGGTTTTGGGAAGGTTTTTGGGAGGAAGCCCTCCTGAAACCCTCCTGAGGAAGGTTTTAGGAAGGTTTTAGGAAGGTTTTTTGGAGGAAGGTTTTAGGAAGGTTTTTGGGAGGTTTTAGGAAGGTTTTAGGAAGGTTTTAGGAAGGTTGTTTGGTTTTTAGGAAGGTTTTTGGAAGGTTTTTGGGAGGAGACCCCTCCTGAAACCCCCTCCTGAGGAAGGTTTTTTTTTCCACGGCTTTCACAGGAAACTCCGAGACACCTCCAAAATCCTTCCCGAGGAAGGTCTTATAAGGGAGGCTCTTCCAAGCTTCAGAAGCAGGCCTCCCACAACACTTCAAAAACCTTCTTGAGGAAGGTTTTAGGAAGGTTTTTGGGAGGATCACCCCTCCTGAAACCCCCTCCCGAGGAAGGTTTTTTCCGCGGCTTTCGCAGGAAACTCCGAAACACCTCCAAAATCTCTCCCGAGGAAGGTGTTAGGGAGGCTCTTCCACGCTTCAGAAGCAGGCGCCCGCGGCCTCCCGGCCTCCCCCCCCTCTCGCGAGGCCCCGACGGGGCCCCACGGCCTCCAGGAGGGGGGCAACGACGCGCGGGAGCACGCTGGGCATGGGCCCCCGCCGGCAACCCCTGGAGAAGAAAGGAGGCCGGCCGCGAGCAGGCGCGACGGCGGGCCAGGGCGGCCTGTGCTGCGCGGCCCGGAAGCCGCGCACCGAAGGCTACTCCAGATTTCGCAAGAAAGGGAGGGGGGTCTCATTTCGGGGGGGGTCCCTTCCAGGCTATCTTGGAGGGCCTGGGGGGTCTGGGGAGGATGTTTTGGAGGGTTCTCCCACGGGGGAGGTCTGAAATGGCTTGTCTTGGAGGGTCCAGACCCCCTCCCTTTTATTACGAAATCTGGAGTACTCCAGCGAAGGGTCCCGGGCATCCTCCGATCTGCTTTTCAGTCTGCGGCCCCGGAGCCCCCGATTCCCTTCCCTTGGGTGAACAATGGTGTTGCTCCCAGCGTACTTGAGGGCCACATCCCAGAAATGATTTCGAGCACCCAGAGAAATATCGAAGCAGTGTCGGACGAGTGTCGCCTCCCAGGGCCCGATACGTGGAAACCCTCCAATTTCAAATTTCAGTATTTCCTTGGTGCTCGAAATCCTTTCTGGTGATCAAGGCTAAGGTAACTTGGAGCATCCTAGCCCTGGGGGTAACTTGTCGCCCCGACTCCGTTTCTGATTGCCCCGGGGCCCGAACAGAAGGGCCGTGGGGGGGGGCCGAGATCGAGGGAGCACGCCAGGATGAGGGGGCTCCCCGCGACGGGGAGGGGTGCCCGGCGCCGATCCGCGAAACCTGCGCGCAACTCCGAGCTTTCCTGTGCTCACGCCGCTGCTTCTTCCCCCGATGAGTGACACGCGCAGATCGTCGGAGGTCCGGGGTCCCCCCCCGCATGCAGCAGGGGCTGCCGGCGCACCAGAGCTGCGCGGGGGCTCGAGCTGTGCGGGGGAGAGGGCCGCTCAGGAGTCGCCCGCGGAGCCCGCGCTGTGGCGGGCAGGCGCCGCTGCTGCCGCTGCATCTGCGCCGTCGGGTGGGAGGGGGGCGCTCCTCTAAGCTGCGCTGCCGTCCGCAGGTTTAGCGGCAGGCTTGGCCGCAGGCCTGGCCGCGGGCTTGGACGGCTTGGAGTCGGACGAGGACGACGAGCTTGAGTCGCTGTCGCTGTCGCTGCTGCTGCTGCTGCTGTCGCTGCTGCTGCTGCTGCTGCTGCTGCTCGAAGACGCCGAGGCCCTCTTCGCTGCCGCGCTCCGGTGGGCTTGGACAACGCCGCGCTGAGCCTTCTCCTCGGGGCTTCGGATCAAGCCCGGGCGCCTCCAGCAACCGCTGGCAAAGGCACAGTGAGAATTACTCCGACGGTAGGGCCCCGCATGAGCATCTGCCGAGCTAATCTGGAAGTGCACCTCAGCGTTGTCCTCGTCATTGCGGGGGCTCTTTTCCTGTCTCCTCCTCACCCTTCTCTCTGCCGCCCAGGCGGAAGCTCTCCTCCTCCTCCTCCTCAGCCCCCTCACTCCCAGGGAACCCACAAGCGAATACAATTTCAAGTTTCCGCTGGTCAGCTCGGATTCGAGCATGGAAATGTGAACCCCATTGGGAGGGGGCTCCCGCTCGAGACTTCCAGAGCTTCCGCTCGAGACTCCTCCAGATTCAGGCCCGGGGAGCCCCAAAGTGACGACAGCTACAAGTTCTGGATGACCTGCTCAGATTCGAACATGGAAATGGGAACCCCATAATGGAAGACTCCCGCTCGAGACTTCTTCGCGATGATGAACCGCCCGCTCGGGACTGCCTGTAGGGTCAGACCTGAGGAACCCCAAAGTGACAGCAGTTACAGGATTCGGATGACCTGCTCGGATTCGAACAGGGAAGTGGGCATCCCTTAGGGCGGGGGCTCCCGCTCGAGACTTCTTCGCAACCCCGTCACAGACGAAGCTTCCCCTGGAGACCTCCTTACGATTCAGGCCTGACGAGCCCCAACGTGACGACAATTGAAATATTCGGATGGCTCGCTCGGATTCGAACGTGGCAACGGGGACCCCATAGGAAGGGAACGCCATCGGCCTCCACCATATCCAGGCCCCAGGAGCCCCAAAATGACGACAATTACGAGATTCGGATCGTCCGCTCGGACTCGAGCGTGGCAACGGGGACCCTATAGGAAGGGGGCTCCCGCACGAGACTTCCTAGCGATTCGCTGGCAGACGAAGTTCCCGCTCGAGACCTCCCCCAGATTCGGGCCTGGGGAGCCCATGTGCGACGACAACCACAAGACTTGGATGACCCGCTCGGGTTCGAACGTAGCAATGGGAAGCCCATCAGGAGGCAACTCCCGCTCGAGGCGTCTTCGCGATTCACTCAGACAAGGCTCCCGCTCGAGACCTCCTCGAAATTTAGTCCTGAGGAGCCCAAACGCGACGACAGCAACAATATTCGGATGGTCCGCTCGGATTTGAGCATGGAAGTGGTCACCCCAATGGGAGGGGGGTCCCGCCCGAGACTGCCTCGCGATTCACTCACGGACGAAGCTCCCGCTCGAGACCTCCTCCAGATTCAAGCCTGGGGAGTCCAATGGTGACGATAAGTGTAGATGATGCTGATGCTGATGGTGGTGGTGGTGGTGGTGATGCTTGTGATGCCGACGATGATGATGGTGGTGTTGCTGATGAGGATGGTGATGATGATGATGACGATGATGATGCTGATTATGATGATGATGATGATGATGATGATGATGATGATGCTGCTGCTGATGATGATGATGATGATGATGATGGTGATGGCGATGGTGATGGTGATGCTGATGCTGATGCTGATGGTGGTGTTGCTGATGATGATGGTGATGATGATGACGATGCTGATGAGGCTGATGGTGGTTATGATGATGGTGATGGTGATGCAGCAAATGTTGATGATGATGACGATGACGATGATGACGACGATGATGACGATGATGACGATGACGATGACGATGACGATGACGATGACGATGATGATGATGATGATGATGATGATGATGATGATGATGATGATGATGATGATGATGATGATGATGATGATGATGATGATGATGATGATGATGATGATGATGATGATGATGATGATGATGATGATGATGATGATGATGATGATGATGATGATGATGATGATGATGATGATGATGATGATGATGATGATGATGATGATGATAATGCTGATGATGGTGATGATGATGCTGATGATGATGATCTTGGTAATGCTGATGGTGATTGGGACCTTCGTCGGCCACAAGGCCCGCCAAGCGAGCAAGCCTAGCCACGGCCGAGTGGGGCGGGAATGCCAAGCCCGCAAGCCCGCGCGGGTCAAAACAAACTGCCCGCCTGAGCCCACGGCCTACGCCGAGGCGATCCCGGCCAGCACAGGGGGGAGGGAGAAGCTACCATCGCGCCACCCCTGCGGCGAGCACGAACTCTCGAGTCCGGCGCGCCAGCGCAGAGGCGGACGCGCGTCCTCGGGCTTCCAGGTGGCCTGCTGGAGGGGAAGACAGTGCAGCGGCGCGCGCGGGGCGCAGCACGGACAGCCCCCGTGCCAGCAGTATGCCCTTCCTTCGGCTCATGGGGAGCAGGGGGGCGCTCCTTTCTCCGCGGCTGCCGGTGCAACTCTGGCCCCTCCGACCCCCACCACCAGCAGGCTTCGGCTCCTGGGGAGCAGGGGGAGGCTCCTTTCTCCGCGGCAGCCGCCACTGCAGCTCTGTGCTTCGCGCGGGGGGTGGGGGTGGGGGAGGGGGGGAGGGCACGGCGTGGCCGCCGCGACGCAGGCAGGCAAGTGAGCTGCTGAGGATCAAACTAAACATCGCAAGGGCAGCAGCAACAGGTCTCAGGAGGTTTGCCGCGGCCTCCCGCGCTGCTGTCCCGATGAGGAAGTAGGCCATGCGGAGGCAGGCGACCCCAACTTGCAGCAACTCCACCACGGCCCAGTGTAGACCCCTAGCCATGCCACACGATGAGGGCGACACACCATACGCCTGGCCAGGATGAGGACGGCACGAGTGGCCGTCACGACGGCGTAGCAGACCAGCGCCACAACAAGCAGAAGACCGTGCAAGCCCATGCAGATCACCATGCTGATGTCGCTGGCGCCAAGACCATGAGATTGCCGACGATGTGGGTCGAGCGGGCTAGCCTCTTTCCCGCTCCAGGGGCCCACAGGAGCATGAGGACGGTGCCGGCACTCTTGACCAACATGCGCGCGCACTCCATGCCGTACACCACGGCCACGTGCAGAGACCTCCAGAAGCCCGCGAAGACGGAGAGAGCAATGCCACACTCGAAGAACGCCCCCCGCCATCGCGCGCCGAAGAGCATGCCGTAGCCCGTGCCCAGCGTGAGCGCGCAGCCGATGCCGCAGTGCACCACGCGCGCGCGGCCCACGCCGAACTCCCCGACGTTGTGCCTCCACCTCCCGAGGATGGAGGAGACGCCCCGCGGCACGAGGAGGAGGCACCGCCAGCACGTGCGAGAAGACCTGCAGCCGCCAGTGCCCAGCCCAGCCTGTGCACCACCGCAATGCAAGCCTGCTCAGGACGCGCTGCGCCTCCGCGCGCTCGCCCGCCCGCGCAGCCCAGCTGCCGCGAAGCAGCCCCGCGGCAGCCCGGGCGCGGCCGTGCCTCCTCCTCCTCCTCCTCCTCCTCCTCCTCCTCCTCCTCCTCCTCCTCCATGTGCGGGCCCGCGGGAGCCACGCCCCGCACGGCGTCCGCGGAGCCGTCGGCCGGGCCCGGCGAGGCGCGGGGCAGCGCCCGCGGCGAAGGGCCGCTCGCCGGCAGCCTTCGCAGAGCTTAGTGCCTGCTGCTGGGAGGGGCGCGCCGGCGCACGACGACCCGCCGCAGCAGCAGGCACCATCGCACCACGCATCGGACGAGTGCGAGGTGCTGGGGGGCGGGGAACAGGCGGCAACGGCGCGGAGGCCACACTCTGAGCCCGCCCCGATGGTGATGATGACGACGATGATGCTGATGCTGATGCTGATGCTGATGCTGATGCTGATGATGATGATGATGATGATGATGATGATGATGATGATGATGATGATGATGATGATGATGATGATGATGATGATATTAATGATGATGGTGTTGATGGCGATAAAGGTATGATGCTGCTGATGATGGTGCTAATAATGATGCTGAGGATGAGGATGAGGATGAGGATGAGGATGAGGATGATGATGATGATGATGATGATGATGATGATGATGATGATGATGATGATGATGATGATGATGATGATGATGATGATACTGGTGATGATGATGGTGATAATGATGACGATGATCATGATGAGGATGGAGATGGTGATGACGATGCTGACGGTGACGATAACGATGCTGATGGTGATGGTGATCATGGGGATGTTAAGGATGACGATGCTGTTGATGATGTTGATGAGGATGAGTGTGGAAGGATCGGGTGCAGAAGGACGAGTGTAGAAGGACGAGGAGGGCTGAGGTTCCTGCGCGGGGGGTGTATGCATTGAGAACTGGCGCAGGCGAGCTGAAGCAGGTACAGGCGCCGGTCGGGCTGTGGGTGGAACGCGCCTGGAGGAAGAAACAACGCCATAAACATAAACTCTTGGCGCTCCGCGCGGATTTCTCGAATCTGCGCTGGGCTCCCCTCCCTGGCGCGCGGAGCGCGCCAGGGGCGGCGCGGGAGGCGCCGCCAGTGGGCCCAGCGCGGATCCAAGAAATCCGCGCGGAGCGCCTCAAGTTTGTGCTAGTGGCGTTTTTTTTGCCTGGAAGCGCCGCAGGCGGAATCGGGCGAACCTTGGCCGTGCACTCGGCGCGTTTCGCCCGCGCGCCGCCGTCCTTGGCGCTGCGGGCGGAGTCCGTGCCGCGGCTTTGGGCGGACTTCCGGGCAGAGCCCGTGCCGCGGCTGCGGGCCGAGCCCGCCGCCGGTGGGCCCGCCGCGCCGCGCTGCGCCCACTCCCGCCTCTCCAGCACCGCCGCGGCGCCCTGGCTGCGCGATGTGCTTCGGGAGCTCCCCGTCCAACTGCGCGGGATCTCAACGCCCCCCCTGCAGCAGCACGTCAGACGAGAGGGGGCCCCTGCCGGACGAGCTCTTGGGGCGCACGCCGCGTCGACCTCTCGGGGTCCCGGGGTGCCCCAGCGGTTCTGTGGGTCCCAGGGGCCATCGGGGCACCTGCTGGCAGGCCGATTCCTGGTACTCGACGTGCCTACTGAGTCTCTCTCTTTTCTCGGCGGCGCAGCCCCTCTGTAGAGGAAGACAGGCGCCAAAAGCATACCATGTCGGAGGCCCGTGCGGATTCCTTGGGTCGGCGCTGGACCACACCCCCTGGAGCGCGGAGCGCGCCAGGGGCGACGCAGGAGGCGCGGCCAAGGGGGGCCCCAACGCCGATCCAAGAAGTCCGCGCGGGCCTCCGCAAATCATGTCTGTGGAGCTTCTTTCCTCGCAAGCATCCGCGTGCTGCGGCGTTGACCCTCTGGCTCGTGCTTCGGTGCCGCTCGCACCACGAGCCGTGTGCAGACAGAGCGCGAAGGAAGCCCACGGAACGCGCAGCACTCCGAGCATTTCGTGCATGGAGCTTGTTCTGCATTCGGCTTCGGTCGGGCATGTCCCCCATACAGGGGGACTTTTGGACGAACAGTTAAAACGAGTCAAGCAATAGCCACAAATGGTTCAAACATAATCAGAAAGTAGTCTCCAGACTATTTTTGGACCGTCTTTGGATATTCCTCCTGCCCGGGCCGGAGGCGGCGACGCGTCGCCGACGCATCGGCGACGGGCCTCCGACCGCGAGAGGCCGCGCGCGCTCCTGCCGCGAGGCAGGCTGCCAGGCCTCCAGCGGCGACGAGTGGGCGACTGGGGACCAGTGCCCGCCCCCGCCCCCGCCCCCATGGGCCGAGCTGTCCCCCCCGCCCCTCGGGGCTCCACGTTCGATGAGCCCCAGGGAGGTCCCCTGTGTCGATGCCCCCCTCCCTCCCCCCAAGAGCCCGTCCCGCCCCTGGCGCTGCCCTCCCCCCCCCCTTTGTGCTGAGGCCGCACGCCGCAGGGCCCCCCCCCCTCCCCAGTGCGGCGGGCGGGCGGCACGGCCTCCATCCTCCACCCCGGCCCCATGGTGCCTCTGGAAAGGCCACGAGCTAAGGGCAGCGATAGGGGGGGGGACTCTGGCATACACGGGGGGAAACCTCGACCTGGAACCGGCGAGGCGTCGCCGAGACACATCGGCGATGGGCCCTCGAGCGAGTTCGGGCGTTCCTGCGCGGGGTGGGGCCCTCAGACACCCAATCGGCGATCCGCGGGCGATTTGGGGTCGATGCGTGCCCCCCGAGGCCTCTTCCCGTATCATTGCCCCTGAACGTGCGGCCTCCGCCCGTCCCCGGAGCCACTGGCGGCCGAGCAAGCCTGCAGGGGCCTCCATCCAATATGGCCCGAGAGGAGGAGGAGAAGGAGGAGGAGGAGGAGGAGGAGGAGGAGGAGGAGGGGGAGGAGGAGGAGGAGGAGGAGGAGGAGGAGGAAAATGAGGATGAGGAGGAGGAGGAGGAAGAGGAGGAGGAGGAGGAGGGGGAGGAGGAAGAGGAGGAGGAGGAGGAGGAGGCTCCGTAGCCATTTTGGCTCAAGTCCGGAGGCGTTGCTCAAGGGACTTTGAGTTTGTGGCGGGGGGGATTCGCGGCCCCCGACTGCTTTCCCTGGCGTTCGCCCGCCAGGTTCATACTCAATATTACGTCTTGTGTACGGAACTTCGTTTTTCCTCCCAACATCCTTCGATGGTTCCAGCGCCCGCTGCTTTCTCGTATGCGCCGTGGGTGCGTCCAGATGAGTGGACAGTTGTCCAAGAAGGTCGGAAGGGGAAGAAGAAGCAAGGCCAGGGAGTTGCGTGCCCAGGCTGTGGTTGCAAGAAGAATGCTCCAGATGACACTCATTGCTACCATTGCAGTGCTCTATTGCCTCGCCTCGCTGTCGGTCATCCACCTGCTGCTCAAGGGTCATGGGCACGCCCTGCGTTGCCCCCAGGCTCGTTCTTCCATCTCGGCCCGCTCATGGGGGGCAAAGGTGGAGGCTTCACAGGCGGCGGCATTGGCGGCAAGGGGGGCAAGGGCGGCGGCGGCAAGGGCAGAGGACACGGCGGTTGGGCTGATTCATGGGCAGGCGGCGCACCTCAGCCTGGTCCCGTCGAGGCTGGAGCTGGCCAGCTGTCGCCTTTGCCAGTGGGAGCAGTGCCCAACCTGTCCAAGGATGAGGCGTCGGAGTTGGCTCGACTGTGTGAGAGGGCTGGCGACAAGGCAGGTGCCACCAAGTATTCTTCCTTTGCGAAGTCGCTGGCGGCTACTGAGGAGCGTGCTAAGCAGCCAGTCTCGGCACATCAGGCTGCCCAGCAACATCACACGCTTGTTCGGCGTCTTGAGAAGCAGCTGGAGGGCGACCTTGCGAGGCTCCTCCGTCTGCAGTCCGAGGTTCAGGAGCAGAACGAGAAGGTCAAGCGTGTGCGCGGCGAGTTGCAGGAAGCTGACAGGGTGGACAAAGAGGCGGTCCAGAAGCTGGCTGCTGATTCGAAGGTCGTGCCCAACGTCGAGACGGCAAAGCTCAAGCTCGAGGACTTGCTGTCAGGCTCTGTGGACATCGGCTCCATCATCAGCTGCGACATCCTCGAGGACTTCGGCGACGACGACGAGCTCGAGTTGTCGGCTGAAGATCGCGAGGAAATGCAGAAGCGCACGGCGCTCTTGTCTCAGGGCATTGCGGGCGTGGCCAAGACGCTGTTCCAGCAGGCAGTTGACCAGGCCAAGTCCGCCCAGGCAGCACATCAAGCGCATGAGGCTCGTGTGGCTGGCAAGCGTCGCAAGCGTGAAGATGGGCTTCATGAAGCTGGTGGGGGTGTCGGCGGTGCTGAGGCCGCTGCAGCTGCCGCTCCTGGTGGTGAGGGTGAACAATCCCCGACGGCAGGGTGCAGCCAGCAGGCGCCAGTCGAGGCGACGCCAGCAGATATTCGCGCGCGTGCAGATGCGGCTCTTCATGCCAGTGAGTCAGGTGGCGCCTCCCCCTCGTCTTGAGGGGGGGGGGAACGCTCTAGCATTAGCGAATCTTGTGTTGCTGGAATCCGGTCGGTTTTTGACTTTTTTACCTCTCGAGCCTCGGTCGTAGGTTCGAAATCCAGAATCTCTAGTATCAGGCTTTTTAAGAGGTTCCAGTCTGTCTTTCGAGCCGCCACTCCCGAGGCCAATTCTTGGGTTGCGCCCTTGGTCCCTGCTGACGTCCAAGGTGCCCCAGGATCCAAGCCCTTGGAGCCCCCGAGGCCCGTTCCTCTTCCTGTTTCCTCTGGGTCCTCGGATTTCCAGCTGGAGATTGCCGCTGTCAACGGGAACTCTTGGGGCACGCTCTACAAGTTTTCTGGAGTCTACGTCGGCCCACGTTGTAATTGGCCAAGAGCATCGTCTCAGAGCCTCGGACATCGACCAGAAGTCGGAAATCTGCAAGAAGGCTGGGTTCAAGACTGTTTGGGCGCCTGGTGTGCTCGGTGAAGGTGGTGGTGTTTCTTTGGGAGTTGTTGAGGCGGCTCGTGACGGACTTGGATGCTACGAAGCTTCTGAAGTGGTTCTTGCTGAAGGGCGAGCAGCCGCTGCTCTGATTCACGTTCCTGGATGTGCTCCGTTCGCCATCGCGTCGGTCTACCTGGTCCACTCTCAAGGACTGTCGGAAGCTAACATGGAAATCCTTCGGGCTGTCGGTATCTTTCTTGAATCCCAGGGTTGTGAGTTTGTCGTCGCGGGTGATTTCAATTTCTCTCCTGGGGTCCTGTTTGAAACCAGCTTTGCGGAGCTTCTGAAAGGGGTCATTGTGTCTGCTGGTGGGCACACCCACTTCCCCTCTGGATGGGGGGGTTCCTGACACCCTTGTTTTTTCGTTCACTCTGAAGCCTTGGGGCGGTGCTTGCAGCAAGTCAGAGTGGTCACTGAGTCGGATATTTCCACGCATAAGCCTGTGGCCATTAAATTTCACCCGTCCCTCGGCTCTCTGAAAGCCCCCGCGTTCCGCCGCCCCCCCGACTTGCCTCCGTCGGCGCCTGTGGGGCCTCAGCCGTGCCCTGGGGATTGGTCCGAGGCTACCGCCAAGGCCGAAGCCGCTCACAGGGCTGCTCTGTCGGGGGGTCTGCAGGAAGCCAGGGGCCTTCTTGCGCCGGGGTATCGTTTGTGGGCCAATGCGGCCGAGTCTGACTTGGCCAAAATCTTGGGGGTTGAGCTTCCCGCTCTCGGCATGAGAGGTAAACGCCCCAAGCTTGTGTGGAAAACGGTGATTAAACCTGCTGGCAAAGTCAAGGACCCCAACCTTAGGTCCATCACGTGGCTGGCTGCTCAGCTTCGAGCGCTCAGGAGCTACCTTATGAGTGATGGCGCGGTGCTTCCACCTGCTGGTCGAGGCGTTGCTCTCGACGTCGTTTCAGTGCCCGTCGAGGTCGCTGTGCAGGCTGACTCCGACTGGCACCAGTTCTTTCAGGCTGGTGCTGGCTTAGCTGCCCGCTGCCTGGATCTCTCTCGTCCCCGCGTTTCTTCCCAGCGCGGCATCGATTTTAGGTCTGGACAACCTCCTAGCCAAGGTGGCTCAAGGGGATTGCACTCGCGTGCGTTGCCAGGTCAGTCGGGCGACGATGATGGTCTCTGCGATCCTGAAGGTGGAGAGCCCAGTGATGTTGCTGGCTCCCTGCGCGCGGATCTTGAAGTCCTGCTCGACTCGGTCGATCAGGCCTGTTTGAAGGCTAAGGTCGCGGCTGCTGCCAGGTCTAAGGCGTATTGGCAGGAATGGGTTCGAGAAGGACTGGATAAGGGCAGTCGTACTGCTCAGCGTGCCATTCGTGACCCCGAGCCTTGGACCCCCACGACCACGCTCACGGCTGGGGGCATCATTGTTGCGGACCCCATGGCCTTCTTGAAGGCCGAGGCTGATAAGTTTGCGTCTATTTGGGGGGATGGGGACGGGAAGGGCATTGATGACTCGTTTCTCGAACCCCTGCCCGTCCTTCAGCCTTCTGAGCTGCGTGCCTTTTCTAAGAAGTATCGGCTGTCCAGTGCTGTGGGTGTTGATGGTTTTCATTGCCGTCATTTCTCGCTGCTTTATGATCAGGCCCTTTACTGCCTCGCCCTCTGGTTTTGTGTCATGGAGGCCACGGGCTCCCTGCCGCACCAGATTTCCTGGGTTCTCATGGCCCTCTTGGGTAAGCCCGCTGGGGGCTTTCGGCCTATCGGGGTGTTCCCCAGTTGGTACCGCCTCTGGGGGCGGGCCCGTCGGTCTTTTGCGCGACGCTGGGAAGGCAACGACCCTCGGGACTTCTGGGCGGCGGGGGCCAACAGGGGCGCCTCTGACGTGGTGTGGCGGCAAGCCTTTAAGGCCGAGGCGGGACTCAGCCGTGGCGAAGTGTCGGCCTCCATTTTCTGGGATCTTCGGAAGTATTATGAGCACATCGACCTTCGTTTGCTCTATGCCAGCTGCCGACAACACGGGTTTCCTCTCGGTATCGCTAGGCTGGCGGCCATTCGAGCGTATGCTACCGCTAGATACCTGGCCCTTGGAGGCTATGTCGAAGGGCCTTATTTCGTCATCAGGGGCATCGTGGCGGGCTGCTCGTTCGCCACTAGCTTGATCAGGGTTTTCGCTTTGGCCAGCTTCGACTCGCTCCCTCGGTCGCCAGGCTTGGACTTCGACGCGTATGTTGATGACCTGGGTCTCAGCTGCACGGGCAGCGCCAGGCAGGTTGTTCGTGCGCTGGTGGGCGGAGCCCGAGCGCTCCACAAGTGCATCACTGATGAGCTGCAGTGCCTTCTCGCCATGGACAAAGTGGGGATGGTTGCTAGCAACAATGAAGTCGCCTCTCCGCTCCTCCAGAAACCTGGGCACCTGGCTGGCCAAGGAGTGGGTGTAGGAAGAGTTACGAGCTTGGGGGTTGACTACACGGCGGACCGATCCCTGAGGGCTCCTGGCCGTGGCCGGGCGGCCAAGTTTAAAGCTCGTCTTGCGACTGCGCTTCGCAAGACCAGGAGGCTCAAACATATTGGGGACGTCCTCGGGAGGCGCAGCTTGAAGGTTTTTGCTGCGGGGCCTCTGGCTGGTGGGACCTACGGGTCCGACATATTCGGGGTGTCCGATGCCGAGCTCCTGACCTTGCGTCGTGCTGCTATGTCTTGTGTTAAGCCACGCTCGCAAGGGCGCTCCCTTGCCGTGCTCAGCCTGCTTGAGGGAGACCCGTGCTGGCGAGCGAGTGTGGCGCCGATTCTCAGATGGTCGAAAAAAATCTGGTTGTGCCACACTCGTGCGTTCCCGTGGTGTTTGTCTTGGGCGGATCTGCGTGAGGGCTGGATGCAGACCTTCAGCCACGACATCCACTCGTGGTCTAAAGTTCGTGGGCCGCTCTCGGCCCTCCGCATGTGTATCTACCGTCTGGGGTGGGATATGCCCGATTTTACCACCCTCAGGGACGACTTTGGAAGGGACATTTCGCTGACGCTTTCCCCCCCCGCTTAGTCAAGGTCTTGTGTCGTGACGCGGTGCTCAGAAACCTGGAGCGGGATTCTGGAGATAAGTACGGGGTGGGGTACAGGCTGTGTTGGGATGTGGTCAAGCAGCAGCTCTCGTCGTCCAAGATCCCCGCCAAGGCCAAGGGTGCCATGAGAGCTCAAGCTTGTCGTGCGTTCTGGACAGGAGCCGATGCTGAGGCGGCTGGCTATTTCGAGGTGTCGAGTCTCTGCCCGTTATGTGGTGTCGCGAAGGACACCTTGCACCATCGGCTTTTTTGCTGCTCGGCGTGCGACGAGCTGCGCAAGGAAGTGCTACCCGCTTGGCTAGTGGAAGCTGCCTGTGATACGTCGGACCCTGATTATGAGGAAGAGCTCTTTATGTATGGGGCGTTCCGTCACCCAAGAGATGTTGCCCCAAGACCTCTGTGTGATGGTGGTGTCTCTCTTGTGTGGCATGTCGAGGACCTCCCTCCTCCTCCTCCTGCGTGTGGTGCTGACAGGGTGGCTCCTGGGGATAGCATGTGGAGATATTTGTTTATGGACGGCTCTTGCCACAGGCATGTGGTGAAAGAACTGTCGCGTGCGGGCTGGGCTGTGACCATGGTGGGGAAAGATGGCGAGCTCCTAGGTTTCCTGAAGGGGCCTGTGTGGGCCCCTTGGCCTCAGACTCCCCAGGCCGCCGAGTATGCTGCGTTCGCGTTCTGTGGAGCCTATGCCGATGCCCAGTCCGTGTGCTACAGTGACTGTCAAAATGTTGTGGACCACGTGGCGCTCGGTGCTGATGCGCTCTGTGGCAAGAGGCAGTACACAGGTCTTGTGCTGCAAGGCAAGCACCAATTTGGAAGGAACCTGTGCGCCCTCCACAAAGTTTCGGCCCACAAGGATGTCGATGAAAGCGGCATTTCGGCCAGTGAACGTTTCAGAAGACTAGGCAACCACTTTGCTGACCAGGCTGCCAAAGAGGCGGCACGATTGCACCCCTCCTTGACTCCTGTTGAGGCTGATGAGCTCGATAGGAAGATCAAGATAGCGCGTCTGGTCTTAAAAGCTGGGTCTGTTCTGCTGCCTTTGTGGCCGCGTCTTGAGTTTCGAGGCACCGCCAGGTCCAGGCCCCCTCCCGCTCCTCGTCACCCTCCTCTTGATGTTGGGCACTCGTGGGCGCAGGTTGGGTCCTTCTGGCAGTGCCGAGTTTGCCTTAAGGGCTCTCGGGCGCGGGCCCCTCCTCCTGGGGACTGTCCAGGACACTCCAGGCTGGACCAAGGCGTGCTGCTGAGGTTGGGGCATAAGGTCGTTGCCTTCCCCTGCTCAGATCGCTCGAATTTGTTTGTTTGCTTGTCATGCAAATTTTACAGTAGTGGCTCGCAAATTCTAAAGCTCGGCAAAGAGTGTGGCCAGCCCACCGTCACGTCAATGCGCAACTTGCGCAAGCTCAAAAAGGGCTTGCATCCTGACAAGGCTCAGGTGACGGTTGACATTGATGACATTGTCGCTTTACTATAGGAGCTTGGCTCCTCGGTGCCTGTTTGAGCCTCGGACAGGTGCGTCGGTCACTGAAGGAGGCATGGGCGTTGCTGCAAAAAAAAAAAGGAGGAGGAGGGGGAGGAGGAGGAGGAGGAGGAGGAGGAGGAGGAGGAGGAGGAGGAGGAGGAGGAGGAGGGAGGAGGAGGAAGAGGAGGAGGAGGAGGAGGAGGAGGAGGAGGAGGAGGAGGAGGAGCAACAGCAGCCGGACGGCGACGAAGAGGCCGAGACCCGTTCTGGAGCGCCCCGGGTGGCCCGCCACGGGCTCTGCGACCGAGACGAGCGGGAGGACCTTTCCAAGACGGCTCCAGGTGGCCACGCAGCCGTCCGAGGAGGCCCCCGACCTCCTGCCCTTCCCTGGTCGAGGCGGTCCGCCTGGGCTGGGCATCGTTTCTGCATGGGCTGGTGGGGATTCGCGAGGCGTCAAGAGACTGCGGATGCCCAGCGTCTCGACTCCCTCGGGGCTGTGGCACGCGAGTGCTGGGCGCGTTTCCTGCCCTCCAGCTCGTGCCTCCTGGACGAGGCAGCGCTTCTCCCCGCGTGGTCCCTCGGGATGTCGTGGGCCCTGTCCGACCAGCTGTCGTAGCCGTCGGAGTAGTTGTAGAAGCTGCTGCCCCTGCCGCGGATGATGTGTGGGGGGGGAGGTGACGGGGTGTCCAGCTCACGGGGGGGGAGCGTCGGCCTGGAAGCGGCGATAGATCGGCGGCAAGCCCCCGATGGAGAATCCGCACTTTCCTGGGCAGGCTGGGGCTATCGGGCCCCTGTCGGCGATGACCGCGCGATTGGGGGTCGATGCGTCCGTCGATGCGCCCCCCCCCCCCACCTAGCCTATCTTCCCCGAGAGTTGCCCCTGAAGGATGGGGCCCCTCCTGCGGGCCCGCAACACCTCTTCTCTCCAGCTGGACAGACTGGAACGATGTCCGCCTCTGCAAACTCCCTCCCCAGAGCCCTCCGTTCTCGGCAGACCTGTGGGGGCACCAAGCGCTCGAGGCTGTCCCCGGGGGAACGGTTCTGCGGGACACCCCTCGGCCACACGCAAGAGTGACCCCAGGCAAGAGCGACCTGTTGTGCGCAGCTTTAGGGGCTGGGGGCCCGTGGTGGGCTTGGGAGCCGCGTGGGGCGGGCCCGCCGCGCGGGCCGACCCCCGAGGATCTGGCGCGAGAGCTCCGGGGACGAGCTGCGAGCTGCGAGCCAGCTCCGGGCCGAGAGGCCGCTCCACCGCACGGCCCCGTCGCGGCGGGGCCGCGTTTCGCCCCCGGCTCCTCGTCGACCTGCGCGGTCCAGGTCTGCCGTAGCCGCGGCTGTCGTCCGTCCACACGCTCTCGGTGAGGCTGGTCCTCGCGGTGTACCTGCGCCTGCCCGGGTCCGAGCCGAGAGCGCTGCTGCTCCTGGTGTGTCTGCGCCCGTGGCCCCCGTCGTCGCTGTAGGGGCTGTCGCCGTAGCTGCTCCGAGTGTACCTGCGGCTGCCGTCCAGGGTGTTCGTGGCGAAGCTGCTCGTGGTGTACCTGCGGCTGCCGCCCAGGGTGCTCCTGCGCCCGCCGCCGGTACCGTGCGTGCGGCTGGATGCGACCTGGGAGTAGCTGCCGGCGCGGGAGTCGTAGTCGCTGCTGACAATGGTGCTCGCCCTGCCGACCCCGGGGCGCGCCCTCTCCGCGGCGGCCTGGTGGCCTCCCCGGCCCGAGCGGCCGGTGTCCGCGCCGCGGCCCTGCTCCGGGCCAGCCGCTCGCCCGCCCCCGTCGCTCCTGCGGGGCCGAGAAGCAGGTGCGCACCTGCACGGTATAGGAGCTCGACCAGAAGAAACCATCCACGAGAAGCCCCACCCCGAGACCCCAGGCAGTGCGTCGATTCCATCGCGAGGCCATCGCAGCCCAAGAGGCCCAGGGCACCCTGGAGGCAAGCAGGGTGTTTCTTGTCGTGGGTTTCCACTGTGATGCAGGCTGCATCCACGAGTGCGCCCAGGCAGAGGGCCTCGTGCTCCTGGCTGCCGTCATCGTGCTGTACCATGCGGAGATTGTGCCGAGGAGCGAGGGGCTCTTCTGGCCACGGCGAGCCTCGGCAACGAACAGGCTCCCCCGACCTACAGGCCTCAGGAGCGGCCAGGGAACCAGAGCCCTTCCTGAGCGCCCAAGGTGCGTCTTGGCATCGCTCTCCTGCCGCGATCGCGTCCTCGCTGTGCGCCGGGCAGGATGCACGAAAACGCACGCGTGCAGCCGGCACGTGGTCAGCCCGGAGCTGCGCCAGATCTGCCGGGCCCAACCGCGCCCCCAAACTGGCGGCGTCATGGAGTCGTCGTGGCACAGCATCGGGTCCGGGGTTCTGAGCCCCAGCCTGCGTGCGGGATCTGGCGTGCAAGGCCGGCCTGCGAGAGGCTCCCCGGGCCTGCAGCGGGAAGCGCTCGGAAGGCCCGCCTGCGCTGACCCCGCTCGTGCTCACGGGCCGCACGGCCCCTGCCTTCCCCTTCTGGGGCCTGCTTTTGTCGCTCACGGGCCACCTGGTCCAGCAGCAGCAGGGCAGCATCAGCACAGCGGCACGCAGCAACGGCATGCACAGAGGAACAACACCACCACCATCACCACCAACAACAACACCACCACCAACACCAACACCAACACCAACACCAACAACAACACCAACACCAACAGCAACAACAGCAACAACAACACCAACAACACCGCCACCACCAACAACACCACCACCAACAACAACATCAACAGCAACAACCGTTTTAACATTGCTCGCTCTTGCTTGCTCGCGTGCCCTTCCACGTGCGCATCCCGGACCCATCGGTGCGCGCCCTCTTCGTCGTCGACCGTTGCTTCCCCCCTTGAGGGGCACGCCGCCCTCACCTGCCAGGTGCAGTCGGCGCAGCCCCCGAGGCACGGGAGCGAGGGGAGGAGGGAGGGGACCAGCGGGGGAGGGAGGGAGGAGGGAGCACGCGAGAGGCTGGCAGGAGAGGGGGGCCACAAGAGCAGGACCACGAGCGGCCTACCACGGGGGAGGGACAAAGGTCGGAGCACGCGAGAGATCCGGCAGGAGAGGGGGCTGCGGGAGCAGGAGCACGAGCGGCCTCCCCAGACGGGCGGGTCGGCCGGCTGGACCCTGACGGGCGGGTCGGGCGGGCGGGTCCAGACGGCCGGGTCGTGGAGGCGTCATCGGGCGACGTCGCGGTTCCCAAGCGAATCGTGAGGAGGTCCAGGGCACGAGCCTGATCTCTGAATATCGAGGGCGCGGCGTCTTGGCACATTACGACGAATTGCCACGCGAGAGCGAGAGTCCTGGATCAATTGTAAGAAAGTGCTGCGCGAGAGCGCGATGCTGGATAACTTGGGAGGACATATCCGACAAGAACCGCTGTTGTTGTAGTTCGAGGGCCAGGGACGCACTCTGCGGCTCAAGACTTCCCCTTGCAAAAAAGAAGGGGTGCGAGTCCCGGGAGGAACACTCCAATCGAAAAACGCAATGGGCACCGGAAGGAAATCAACTCTGCTTATTCATTAGAGAGTTTCGAATTCAACTACTTTGCCCTCATGCGCCATGTAGACGCCATCCGCTCTCGGGGGGACCGTATGAAAAGGGGGCGATATTCCCCGATATTCCCTCGTCGAAATATCTCGCCCAAGGAGGTCGAGACAACACCTCTCTCGAGGCACGTTCCCACTTTCAGCTCGCACGATACATAAACAAAACTACTCCGACTTTGGGAAGCGGTGGGGATTCGAAACACGAAGGGTGCGAGCCCGAGGACAGGGGTAATATTTAGGAACATGTGTTCACCACTAAGGATTCGAGCCCAGGAAAGGGGCAACCGATAGGAACATACGTAACACGCGAAAAAAGAGTCGAACCTCAGTCGAGGAACAATGTATAGGAACATACGTGAAACACAGGAGTCGAGCCCCAAGAGAAGGGCAATCTAGGAACATACGTAGAACACGAAGGATTCGACGCCTATGGGGGTGAAGCCTACGGGGGGCCGAACAACTCCACGAACATATATACCTATGCAGAACAATGTCTCCTGGGGCCTCTTGGGGCTTCCTGGGGGCGGGGGGGGCCAACAAAAACGCGCCTCGAACACATATTCCAATACAGAAAAATGCCGCCTGGCGGAAGGGCTGAAGAGCGCTCCCCGAACACATATCCCAGCACAGTCTCCTGGGGTTTCCTGGGGCCTGATGGGAGCGGGGGGGGCGAAAAGCGCTCCCCGAACACATTTATGTCTCCTACAGTACAACTGCTTCCTGGGGCCTCCTGGGGGCGGGAGGGCAAAACAAGTGTCCCCGAACACAACTCCCAGGAACGTCCTAGGGCCTTCGCAAGTGGCGGCGCGACCGCTCCGACGGACTTCCCTGAGTTGTTGAATTGCGAAGAAATCTCAAGCGGAAGGAACGGCCTCTCCTGCATCCGTGAGTAGCAGCAAGAATGCTCTGGAGGACTCCCTTGTGGTGCTGAATTGCAAAGGAAGCCTCAAGCGAAAAAGGCCGTTCTGGCATCCGAGAGTAGCAGCAACCTGGCCCCGAAGGACCGACCTATGGTATTGATTTGCAACGATGTCTGACACGAACCGGCTGTACTGGCATCCGCGCGTAGCGGGAGTCTGTCCTGAAGGAGCCCCCAGCTGTGCTAAATTGCGAGAAGGTCTCAAACGAAGCGGCCGTTCAGGCATCTGGAAGTAGCTTTCTGCTCCTAGCCCCCGTCCTGCTAATCCCGTGCTCCATCCTTCTCCCTCTTTCATCCGTCCTCTCTTCCTCTGTTTCGGGGGCTGCACCAATTACGCGCGGCACGAAAGGAAGATTTACCCCCCAAAGGGGTACGATCGACGACGAAGAGAGCGGGTACCGAGAGTTTGGGATATACATGTTGAATGGCACGCGAGCAGGTAGGAGCGATCAGTGTAAAAATGATTAGTTTTGTCGGTGGTGCTGTTGTTGAGATTGTTGCTGTTGCTGTTGCTGTTGCTGGTCGCTGGTCGTTGTTGTTGCTGCTGTTGCTGTTGTTGTTGTTGTTGTTGATGCTGTGTTTGTTGTTGTTGTTGTGCTTGTTGTTGATGTTGCGGTTGTTTTAGTTGTTGTTGCTGTTGCTGTTGCTGTTGTTGTCGTCGTCGTCGTCGTCGTCGCTGTTGTTGTTGTTGTTGTTGTTATTGTTGTTGTTATGGGGCCGGTTCGGGCGGAACCCCGAAACGCTTGAGCGTGAGTTTCAAATTCAAAAACAAATTGATGCAAGGGGTGGGGGGTCCAACCAGGGATCGACCTGACCAGTGTTTGTCGTGTTCGTTTTGTTTCCGTCTTCCCCCGCTTTGTCTTCACTCCGCCCCTGCTGCAGAGCGGAGCCGACACGAAGACGGCCCACAGAGTCGCCAGCACACCGCTTACGGGTCGACCCCTGGGCCCAGCACACACAACTGCCTAACGATCAACACTCCACAGCGGCATAACAACAACACTTTTGTTGCGCGGGCGGCTGGGCGGAGTGACTGCGCTGGCGAACGGAGCGGAACGGGCAAGGCGCGAAGCGCCTTGCGCCAGCATGCAGGAGGGGGGGGGCCGGGAGCACGACGGGGCGACGGCCGAGGAGCCCGGTGTTGCTGGAGGTGCCCCTGGCCCAAGGTGCCCCCAGCTCCTCGCTCCGTTCGTCTTGGAGCCCCTGGGGCCCTCTGGGCCTCGTGAGGGGGTGCCCTGGAGGCCGCCTGGGCCACCCCGAGCATCCTGGGGGCACCCTGTGCCAGGGGTGCTTCCCTGGCGACACCCGAAGGCAGGGCGGGAACAGGTCCGCGGCAGCAGCCTCAAAGCCTTTACGGACCCAGACATCCGACGCCTCGATTTTCTCGAGACACGGGCCCCCCGACCTCCCGACCACTTCCCCGGGACCGGTTTCTCACTCCCCGAAATCTTTTTGTGGACGGCCCCGAGGCCCGGCGAGGGCCCCGCGAGGCCGAACACGACGCAAAACCTCCGCCTCGATTTCCTCGAGACGCCCGGTGTCTGGGGAGGTCTGCGCGGGCTTCCCCGGTCGGCGCTGGCCGTCCCCCGGGCGCCGCGCCTCCGGCGCCACTCCTGGCCCGACCGCGCGCGCGCCGCGCCGGCCCCGGAAGCCCGCGCGCTCGGCCTCCGACGGCTTCCGCTCCTGCCGCGCCATCCCTCCGTCGAAGGCAGCGGCACGCAGCACGAGACGAGGCCAGGGCGAGGGTTCACTCGGGCGAGGATCCGTCGAGGATCTCCGAGATCCCGCGGCTCTGGAGGGAGGGTGTATCGGGCGCCGCGGCCTTCTCGGAGCGTTCCGGAACGCTCTGAGAGCGTTCCGGAACCCAGACCCCCGACGTCATCATTCTGGCATGACATCGAGCCCCGGAGGTCTCGAACCATTTTCCAGAACGGGTCTTTCATCATGAACCCGTTTTTCACGGTGCCGAGGCCCGGTAAGGGCCCCCAGAGGCCGAAAATAGCGAAAGGCCGAAAACAGTGACAAAAAACTTCCCGTCGTGATGTGTTCATGACTCGAGGGGGCCTGGGGACGCTCCGCAACGGATGCATCCTCGTCCCAGCCCCGTCCGACAACAGCAGCCGTGCGGCGCCAGCCAGCAGAGCGCAGCAGCACCGGGCCGCCGCGGAGCGGCACGCGCGCACCGGCAGAAGGGCCGAGCTCCCATAGGCACGCCCTGCCCCGGACGCGGCTCGGCCCCGAGGCTGCAGGGCCGAGGAGAGCCGCCGCTCGTCCCAGACCAAGTCGTGGCGGGCGAGTTTGCGGCACCGCGGCGTGCCGGCGCTCGCGGGCGACTCCTGGGCTGCCTGGTGGCCATGGCAAGGAGCGCAAG